GCTAAATTACATTCGACAATCGACAACGCTCATATCGCAAAGGAACTAAGTACTCCATTGGTATGCGCCATTTTTAAAGATTTTAATCTTAATTATTAAAAGAAATAAAGTACTTTTATCAATACCATAATTTTTCGTTGTTGTCGAATTATCTGCCTTCGATCGAATTAGTAGTGGAATTCTGCTTGGTTTATACGAGTATATGAAGAAATAGCCTTTTTAAGAACAAAATATGACATTTGATGTCTACACAAATTATTGTGGAAGCTTCTTTCGCATTAATCTATCGATTTTAAACTGCTCGTCGATTCATAAACTTTATTTATGCTCACATGCCTGTACTATGTACTAAAGAAAGACTTCATAGTATGAGTCCCGTCCTTCGATATACTCGAGCTCGTCGACTGGTCTGCTAAAAATAAATCACGCTTGTCATTGAGTTAAATTTCTTTAAGTAAACAATAAAATACAAAATTTAAAAATAGACCAGTAAAGGTGAGAGCAAAGAATACGCTCATAAACTGGCAAAATGGAAAAAGCAATAATCCAGTTTCGAATTCTCCAATGCTCTGTGTTAGCCTCATTTGTGCGCAAAATATTCCTAATTGTGAGAATAAAAGTGTGAGATTTCAAATCAATTCTATCCTGTCATCAGTCATACGTCACTACGGAGTAACATTATCCATTTTAAATTATCCATTTTAAAATTGTTGTAAGTCACAAATTGATTTAGACCTTTCAATTTCAATTTCCGTAAACGGTTGTATTTTCATTTTATGGATTTTCTCTTGAAGTAGATTTTTCTACTAAACAATCTTCGAGTTAGGTCGCCATTGGCTGGTTTGTCTGACTCGCACCAATCAGAAGAAACAACTAGTTTAAAGGTAAATGTACGTAGAAGGAAAGAGTCTACTCCACTTTGACTTATCCTTCTCCACATCGACATCGAGTTAGTGAAAAAAAAAAACACACACACACAAGAAAAAACAAATATTTATATTTAGCAGTTTTTGCTTTTTATTTTCACTTGCCATCCTGTATTTTCCGGAAAATACTTACGAAAGGGAATAGCTATCACGCATAACGAACATGATTGTACGCTCTTTCGATTTCCTAGGTTTTATGACATCAGATTAGAGTTCTGTGAAATTTTACACTCATCAATCATCAAGAGAGGATGTGTGTTTGTGGGGCTTTGCTAACAGACAACATAGACTTTTGATAACATAACTTATGAAACACAGAAGACTGCAGACTCTCGAGAGGTAATGACTAACATGGACTAACCACATGTAACTTTATTCAATTCATAATTATATAGCCACATATTAATCCCAAATAGGTAAAAGCTGGATTTTTCGTTAATTTTGGAATCCTG